CTACACTACACTGCGCTGCACTACACCACACCGCACTACACCAGACTGGACTACACTACAGCACGCAACACTAGACTACCTTACATTGCACTACACTCACTACACCACACCACAACTACAACTGCAACTGCACCACACTAATTACACTACACTACAGCTAGAACTACAGCTGCACTACACCACTCTACATCCAGCAGTTGTGGGTGAGGTGACCACTGCAACCATTGCAACCACTCCAAAAAACACAACTCCAACCACCTTTCGGTCCATCAGTGGATTCGCTCTGCCATCCATGCATCACAACAACTCACCTCTCCTATAGTGTCCTATCTTTGAAACTTCCGCCACCGCCTTGTGTGGTACTATTGGTAACTTAATAACGTTGACCAAAAAAAGTATTAGATATCTTGATAGCCTTACAAATGGGCCCCTTAAGGGCCCCTTGAATGAAGGATTTCACCACACCCCAGTAGGGATTGCTGCCGATTTCCCCCGATTTCCCCATTTTGGGAGGTTGAACATCACGTTGATATGCTGATGAAATATGGAGCACCGAAGTGTAGAGCCAAGAAGCCTCAAATTTTGGAGCTATCAATATGCATTCAACGTCTGGTTGGTGGTTGAGCCCTACCCCTCTGAAAAATGATGGAGTTCGTCACATGGGAGTATTATTCCCAATATATGGAAAGTCATAAAATTCCATGGTTCCAAACCACCAACCAGATGTGTATTTCAATGGAGTCACACATCCTTCTCCACCGCGTTCCATCACAAAATCCCCCGATGTTTTATCACATGGGCGTCCCCGACAAGCATAGCAAATATTTCCGCGTCGAACCACTGCACATCTGCAGCTGCTTGGTGGAGAGATTTCGGTCCTGCCGATGCCATCAGCAGATGCTTTCGTGAGTTTTTATGGTGGTTTAATGGGATTTAATGGGATTTACCCTCTGGTAAACTTTCACATAACTAACTGGAAAATCCATCATTGTAATCTTACTGGTGCTAAACGCAGGGAATTTTCGGGAAATATCCATAATCACTAGTAATAATCATCCCAGCAACCCCCATTCCCATCCATTCCCCACTAAGCACCAGTATAATGGCACCCCCAAAGAAAAACCGTTGGAAACCTGGGAATGATGGGGAAAACCATCGTCGAACTAGCATCCTGGAAATATCTAGTTCTCCGTTTTGATCCTTTCTGTTGGTTACTATCTTGGATGGGTTTCAGGAGCTAAGGGGCAGGTTGTACCATGGGATTGGAGCGGTCACTGACCGCTGTCCATGTCTACAAACACCACCTGACATATCATGGAAATGGTGGTGAAATTGCGCTTGCCCCGCAAAATGCTAGTTGCATGGCTATGGGGCTAGAAACAGCTCGTGCGGTGCTGTTCTCACACCAAAGCAGCTATTGGATCCCCCCCAAAAAATAACAGCGTCCTCACCCTGGGTCTTTCTGACAAATGGGGACCCCAGACCATAGCTTTTCATAGCTTTCGCCCGATTCAAAGTCACCAAGTTTTGGATGACTTTTGGGGTCCCCCATTTTAGGAACTCCCTAATCAATCTGGCTATGGCTCAGAAATTTCGAGCTGCAAAGCATCCAAAGCATCCAGGCTTAGTGGCTGAATCTTGAAATACGTTGACCCTCGATGTGTGTTGATAATAATGTGGGGCCCTGGGGCCCTCAAGATAGCTAAGTTGGTTTAATCCACTGCAATAACTAGGGTTTATGGTGAATAAATAGCTATAGTTTGGTGGGGTTAGAAACCAACTTCTAACTTCTAACTTGGGGTGGCCACTATGCACCTGCATTTTGATTGGCGCAATCCCCAAGCACCAAACCATCAGGGGCTTAAGAACTGAACCCCAGCATTTTGCGGGGCATCAGTAGGGGAAACTATGGGAAAATGATCCCTCTGACGCCGCAATTCTCCCCATTTTTTTGGAGGGCAACTATGGGAAAATGATCCCTCTGGTAATCCAACATGGTCTGGAAAATCGTCAATTTTCACCTTGAAACTCCATCCAATCCTAGAAATCTTCTTGCCACCTTTGATTACCAGAGGGTCACCATGAAATCGTGTGGTTTTCCAAACAAAAAGAGACCCAGATGATGCGTTTCACCGGGGGCACCCTCTGAGCTTCTGGCAGCAATTTCTTGCGCTGGCGCAAAACCATTGTGGACAACTCCAACCATCCAGCGGTTCAGGACATCCTCAGGGAAGAATCCAATGGTGGATCCGTTTTTATGAATCCATTTCTTCCCCAAGTTTGACTTCGCAGCACAGGTTTTTGCAGGAGTCATGGCCCGCCACCAGATTCAGGGGGTAGAAGCTACTGCAGTTTGAAAAAACAATTCATGAGTATATATATATATATACACATGCATATGCATAATTTATATATATATATGATACATACACTTCCAATTTTTCATAGAGCCTCCCGAATCCCATCCCCACGTCATATTACAAGCATACAAGGCCCCCCTAATCATAAGCGTTTGCGCCTTTTCTTCCCGGGCTTCCCCGCGTCTTTCTTCAGGGCCGTTGCGGGGTTGTCCACCACCAGCTCGACAAAATAGATCTCAGTGGCAACCGATGATCCGACTGATTTGAGTACATCCGGTACCCGGCCTGGTAAATGTTTACAGTTTGCGAACTTGAAAATGGCCCATAACTATGGAAAATGGTGATTTAGTTCGTTGAATTGACCCATAAAAAATTGTGATTTTCCAGTTCGTTTTCTGTATGTTTACCAAAGGGTATATCCCAGTTGTACGGGGAAAAATGAGGTTCCGAAGTTACCATCAATCCATCAATCCTGATCCCTTAAATGCAACATTTATGAACAAAAAATATAGGATAACAAAAATTATCCACCAACGGCTGAAATGGAGAAAACATAACCAACTGTGCACCGTCGGTTTAACGGGGGGGGCCCTGTCGGCCCTGTATTCTTATTCATCCTTGATGTCCCAGCCTCTCAAAGATTTTCTTGCGACACTAAGTACACCAAAAATGGCCAACTAATCCATGTTCTCAAAAGTGGATGTTTATGCATGTTTACTGGGATACTGCTGCACTCCGATCCTAAAATATATTCCGTCAACTATTCATCAAACTTGAACCCCACTGGTGGCGAAACGCTGAATTCTGCTGGGTCAGGAACTCCAAATGCTGATGACCATGTTGAAAATAACACGAGGATGGTTCAAATGGCAATGCATGGACATATATAATCTTAGAACATTATGAACCATCCACGTATTATTTGGTCATAATATATCATCTACACATGGTATTGAAACAACACAACTGTTTTTTTTCAACGAGACCTGACATATTCCTTAAATATTGTAGCTAAACATACAATAACTGAAGAGAAACTCCCAAAAACATATCGTTCACCTTGGAGCTTTGTTCATTTATTGCCCTAGTTCTGATCATACACCCAAGTTGCAGAATGAAGCACTTGGAAGTGCAGTTCCAGTTGTAAGATTAATATAACCATAGATAACCATAGTTATATATACGGGCCCCATATCACTACAAACATGGGAGGTAAAATATACCAACAACCTCAAACAATCTTGTGTATCCTCATTATATCCTCGCTGATGGACGATTTGACCGATGATTTACCCTCTGGTAATTTAACATAGCTATTGAACATGGCCATTTATAGTTGATTTACCCATTAAAAATTGTATTTTTCCATGTTTTTTGTTAGTTTATCAGAGGGTACCCATCAAGTTGTGACCTCCCTGCAACCGGCTTTTCTCGGTCCCGGTTGCAGTTCGAGCATAGACGATCATGTCCTGAATTCCACGAGGGAGTCGCTCGTTATAGTGAACCCTGAAGAATGGGAGGTTCACCAACAAACATTCGAATTTAGATAGCTAAGTTGGTTTACTTCACTCCAATAACTATGGTTTATGAATGTTATGATACATATATCCAATAATGTCCTTTTGGTAAAAATATATTTGGGCCGGGAGCTGGTTAATCCCATCTATCATCACCTGTTGTTAAAGGGGTAAACCTTCAAACTCCTCCATTAATCAACCAACCAATGGGAAAAGGACATCGGTTCACCAGCAACACGGACTTCATCTACAAACACCGTTCAGTCATCGCTATGATCATCTACCATCATCTACCTTTTTTGAAAAAGACTCACCTACAACATCCTACAACACTTTGTTGGTTACTTATGGTTGCAACCCCCATTTCTGCTTGTTCATTAGCCAAATGGTTATGGCTCCATTCACGAGCCATTCGATGAACATCTCACAAAATCATCTGATTGCAACCCAGTTGAGGTAATGAACCTAGCAATAGGGATGATATGCATTACATGTATTTATCATAGTTACAACAACTACATCTTATATCAATGTATGGTGACAGTCATCCTGAAGTAAATAGACTATGGGATTCTCAAGAAAAACCATTCTATAACCAATTTAGATTTCCAGATTCTATCATGTTCTAGATAATCATAGTAGAAAGAAAAACAAGTCTATAGTCATCCTGTCATTCCATAATTAATCATATCCTCCAGATTTTAGTCTATCAACTCCACATACATGATGATTATACATGGGTTTTCATGTTATTTCCATCTATCTTTTTCATAGCTTATCTTCATAGGTTATAAATTTCCATGATGATTATCTGGTTGGTGGTTGACCTACCCCTCTGAAAAATATTAGTCAATGGGAAGGATGACATCCCATATATTATGGAAAAATAAACCATGTTCCAAACCACCAACCAGATCTCTTTTTACAATCATTCTGACTGGTCTCCACCAGAGGATACCGTGTCCATGGCGAGTTCACCGAACAGTGGAACCCACCATCTCTTCGTCTTTGGGATGTATGAAACTATGGTTTTTCTTTCTTCAGGATTCGACTTTTTTTGGATCTTTGAAACCCAAGTAGTGGACGACGTGCCAACCGGCCGGCGTCTACGGGTTTTTTTCGGGTCCTCCAAGAGGGTGATCTGACACATCACATCAGGGGTGGCCTCAGGAAAAAGGCCATGTGACGACGTGCGATCCTGCGATGTGACTACGCAACATTTTTATGCTGGTTTTTCATAGGAAAACCATAGGAAAACCATAGGAAAACCATAGGAAAATGGTGGTTTAAGACGACTTAAAAATGGTGGTTTAATGGGATTTAATGGGATTTACACGGCCTGGTAAACATACAAAAAGCTATTGAACATGGCCATTGAAATAGTGGATTTACCCATTCAAAATAGTGATTTTCCATAGCTATGTTAGTTTACCAGAGGGTAAGATTTGTATACTACGTACTAGTTTCCCTCTACCTATACAATTGAATATCATATTATGTATATATATATATATATATATATGTTACAGCAATTATATATAGATCTAAAAACCAATCATCAACAATATATCTATATATGGAGGTTTCCTGAAATGGGGTACCAAAGCATCCATTTTAATAGGATGCTCCACTAGAAACCAACCATTTTGCGGATCCCCCATTTATGGAAATCCCATATACATCTTCATGTGAAATAGATCTGGGTAAATTATAATAGTTCACTCATCTGAATCTTAAGGCCATAAAAGGGGATGATTTCCCTAAAATTCACCAGTTTATTCCAGGCTTCGGGAGAACAGGCTTCGGTCGTAACATAATTTGCCCAGAATTGCCCAGATATGTTTGGGAGTCACGGTTCACCACTATTAACCGCTATAATATATATATATATATAAGCATCTATTAACCCCTATTAACCACTATTAACACCTATTAACCACTATCAACCCTCATTTTTTCGCATCTTCGTTGACAAATTTTTTTCCGACCCATCTCAGCTGGCCACTGGGACGTTCCGGTACCGGACTTCAGGAATCAGTCCGCCCTGGCGACCAATTTTTATCATGGCGAAATCTATGGGAAATCCATGGGATCTTTTTTAATAGTCCCATTTATAATAAGGTAATGTAGGAACTATAACTCATTATAGCTCAATGTGGCAAATTGAAGGGTGAGCTATAAGTAATCCCATTCTTTGACTTACTGGTGCGTGCTAAACGCAGGGAATTTTCGGGAATGATCCTAATAATCACTAGTAATTTCATCCCAGCCCCCAGCAACCCATCCAGCAACCCTGCGTAAAACGCACCGAAATCATGGGGAAATCTACATGGAAGCCTGATTTTCAATGGGGAAATCTCTGGGAAATCTATGGGAAATCCATGGGATCTTATTACCCTGAGCCCTTTTTTCAAGGGGTAAGTTTCAGCCATAGAGTAAGGGACCTTGGGATCTGTAAACTATGTTGAACTAGATGGTTTGGAAACACAGGCTACCGCAAGATCGAACATTTGGTCAAGACACACCAAGATCACAATCTAGTGCCAAATCGCAAAAAAAAGAATCACCATTGGCCAAATGCGACCCAGTGTTAATGCTGGCTTGGCGGAGAGTGCCGCCATCCAGGGCTCGATTTCCAAATGGAAACACTCCTCAACAATTCAATGGTTCAATCATGTTCAATCCAGTCCCTTTTTTGGGGCTCAAATGTGCCATTTTCCCGCAAGATCAATACTGGTTGGTGGTTTCAACTTTCAACCCCTCTGAACAATAGTAGTCAGCTGGGATTATGATTCCCATATATTATGGAAAAATAATCACTGTTCCAAACCACCAACCAGTTGTTTTATGATGTAACAATGATGTAACAATGGGAAATTCTTTATGATTTTCGTTTCAACATGATTTTTTTATCAAAAACATGTGTTTTGTCAATGGTTTTTTTCCATGTGAAACTTTTCCATTGGTCCATACATCATGGATTTTGGGGCCCCATTGTTTCCCCATTTGGCCCCCCATCTCGGCGCACCAAACGACCCTTGGTCGAAGGGAAGCGATTGGCCAACAAACTCAGATCGGGCACCTCAGGGCGTGGCCGGCGTGGCCGTGGCCCCAACGTGGGATCCTTAAAAGCTGGAAGATCTATGGCTATGGCTATGGGATTTCACGTGGATTTCAGCAAAAATATACGGCAAATGCGGCAAATATGATGGGAAGATCAGTTTTCAGGGTTTCACATGGAATTTTATTTCTGCACATCTGTGGAGCTTTTATGCAGTCAGTGTATCAATTCCACTTGGCAAGTCCAGTGCATTGCAATGGCTTTTGTGATAAGTCCGAGAATCATTCCCTTCAAAAAGAAATATGGGGGTCCTGCTTTTTCAAATCAGACAATACGGCTGTTGAATCTTGTTGATCATGATTGGGTTTCCACATCTTTACCTGATTTCTAGTCAATTCGGGTCCAAGCTGATCTGGTTGGTGGTTTCAACCCCTCTGAAAAAGATTAGTCAATGGGAAGGATTATCCCATATATTATGGACAATAAAATTCATGTTCCAAACCACCAAAAAAATAGGATGTACCATATATTTTAATGGGAAAATCCACTATAAATGGCCATTTTTAATAGTTTTTTGTATGTTTACCAGAGGGTAAATCCCATTAAATCCCATTAAACCACCATAAAAAGTCGTCTTAAACAACCATTTTCCTATGGTTTTCCTATGAAAAACCAGCAGAGATCTTTTTACTGTTTGACTTGTATCCACCAGAGGATACCCTTTCCATGGCAAGTTCACCATGGTGAAACTATACCCTCTGGTAATGACTACCGGTTTGCTGTTGAAAATGGCCATTGAAATAGTGGATTTACCCATAAGAAATGGTGATTTTCTATAGCTATGTAAACGTTTACCAGTAACTGGCCATTTTCATCCAACGTCTTTCATAGATTTCATGCGAAAATCATCAGTTGTTCTTCCTTTTTCCATTGCCAATCTTAGATATTCCCATTAATACCAAAAAACTAAAGGATTAAAGTATCCATGTAAGATTGACTTAGTTTCATGGATCTCTTTGGGTTGTTCTGAAAACTTAAAACAGCCCATCCCCAAATTGGATGATGAGAAAAATGATTTGTTTCTAGAAAAAATCTCTTTTTGTTCAGGCACATCCAATCATATGATTGGCATTTACCATCTGGTTATGACTAACAGTTCGCCATGGAGAATCACCATTTTTAAGTTCGGTAAACCATCTATTTCTATGGACCATCTATACCATGGCGAGCTGTTAGTCATAACCAGAGGGTAGTGGTTTATTTAGCTATGTCAACAAAACACCTATGATGATGATATTTGTATATGTATGATATATCCAATATATCCAATCATGATATTGGCATTTTACTACATCCAATCATATGATTGGTTGGATGATTGGATTACAAATTTTGATTTTCTATATATAGCTATGTTAGTTTACTAGAGGGTAACACCCCCAATCATTCCCCCATTGTACTTTAGCTATGTATCTCTTGGTTTTACCCTATGCATAATGGTTACAGCCTTCAGGATCGAGCCGTCCGAGCCACACTTCCACCCTGCTGTGTAGTGGCACAGGAGTAGCCTGCGATGTTTTTTTTAGCAAACATGGAGATTGATGATATTAAGTTGGTGAACAATAACTCCAATGACTCTGTTTTATGGTGTGTATATGTATATATATATATATAGTGAATGGCATTTATAACTCACATAACTATGGATTATTGTGGATATATCTATAATAATCTATAATATGAATAACCAGTGATCAAAAACAGCAAAACAAACAGTTGATTATGACAATTGACTCTGCAGATTCTGATGCATTATTGTAGCCACTTCTTATTCACTCATTATTGTTAATATAAATTAATGGATGTTGTTATTAAATCCGGTATGATGAGTGATTATTTAGTGGTTATTGATGGAGATTGATAGCTATTGTTGGTGATTGTTAAATGATTAATTGCCAAAAATAGTTGTTTGTTATTAACATATAGTGATTGCTGCCGGTGATTATTAATATATATATTAATATCATTATTGACTGAGTAATGGAGATGATCATCATCAGTCATTATGGTTGATATTCGATGTAATAACAACAAGCGATTAATCAAGTATTCATTGAGTGATATTGCGTAATCTTCTGAGGTGATGATGACATGAATATGTTCTGCAGAGAACTGAATATATAGGTCGCCGGGAGCCAAAAAATGGAAATCACATGGCGACTTCAAAACCAGTGATTAATGATGATTCAAGTGATTGTTTGTAATGGTTTGGAATCATCATAGTTATTCTTAACACTGGTAATAGTTGGGTTTTAGCAGTGATAAATACGCAGTTCAACATTGGTTTCTGGTAGTGGGTTGTAATTCGACTTTGTAGTTATTCATAAATCGCTTGCTTATTTCCAATAATACTCGTTTGGTTCTAAATCGAAATGGCTCTTCATACGGCTTTTCGACAAGTGAATTTAACTACTCGATGTGGCTTTGGTTTCTACTGTTTATAATGTGCAAGAGTGGTTTACAGCGGTGGTTAGGATTATGTGCTTCATGCTTATTACAGTGCGAATCTTAGATACCCTGCAAAAAAATAAATTCTTAGCTGGTGAAGTAGATAATCCCATTGAGACCAAAAGACTAAAGGATTAGTTTCCACCCATCTAAGATTGACGAGATATGGTTTTCCCAGTTTATAGGTGATTTACCTATATTTTCTTCTTCCTATAGTTTTCCTATGGTTTTCCACCTAGATTATATGTGAATTATCCGTGATATCCATGATATTAAACTTATTGCCATTCCGAGCTTTGCAAAACGCAGGGAATGGATGGGTTGCTGGGGGTTGCTGGGATGATTACTAGTGATTCTGGATCATTCCCAAAAATTCCCTGCGTTTAGCACCAGTAAGAAGTCTGATGGGTTTGGGTTTCCTGCTACCTCTGTTTACATAGGAGTGTTCAACACATTTATATACTGGCTGGTCTTTAGTGCATGGATAATGATAATCCTCAATAAAGGGTAGTAGAAACCCAAAACTAATCACCAACCAACAGGAGGGGTTGACTCTTGAGGAACCAGGTTTTGACTATGTAGATGCTGATTGTTTACACACTAGAACAGACGGTTTGATTGCTCATGCTGATTGAAAAATATTGCAAATGAGATTCCAACTGTCCTACTCCTGCCAACGCAGAATGGGGAGAGAGCCCTTTCGTGAAAGGATGCATCCGATTTGGCAGTGCCACTTCCGATAGATGTGAGTGTTTCATGTCGTGAACATTTGTGAACAGTCCTCCCCTGTTTGACACATCTTGAACTAAAGATGTCCATATATTATATGACCATATAATCCTTTGTGAGCCAAAAGGCATGCTCACTTGATGACCTAGAGGTCAACTGCCGAGTTTCTCGAATGCTTCATGTTGCTCCATGTCATCAAACCAGCCACCCTCGGAGCGGTAGCTCAATAGTACCAGCACTTGCTGTGCATTTGCCATCCAAACTACCTGATCGATGGACCCGATCATTCGGTCAGCGAAGATTCGTCTTTTTCGCTGATCTCCACCAGGAAGTAAGCGCTGGTGATTTTGTTTACTCTACTTTTGTGACTTCTGCAGTGATGGCCCAACTAACAGTTATTTTTATGCCATTATAACTCCTATAGCTGAGGTTATATATCATGAAATAATCCATCACCAATGTTTAATAGATATATGGAACTGCTTAGTTATATTATTACCATATATATACTATCATTTACCCCCCATATAGCTGCTAGTTGGGCCATCACTATTGAGAATCAAGACCAACATGACACCATCGACCCGGAAACCACTGCTTCCAGGTCCACTTGACACTACTCACATAAATGATATTCATACGAACTTTTCCCATGTCATTATACTAGTTGGTTGGTTGTATATCATAAGATATATACTGTATAGTGTATTATATATATATATATGTATTGACCCTATCTCCACACATATGATTATTAGATATGACTGGACAGGTATCATACCAACCAGTCCCCAATGGTTATGTTCCAAGAAGCTGAGCCATGAAAAGTACCCAATATGTCCCAATCACCCAGGAAAAAACAATGGAACAACTGACCAACCATCAAATCAACCGACCATTATTTGCCAATCATATCATATCCGTTTTTTTGTTGGTGGCTAACACCTCTGGAAAAGTCCACCTCATAACCAATCAACCAGTGTATCCTTATGTATCAATGGCTCATTTATGGTTCTTTACTTTTTTGTTTTGGGGGTTACTATATGTATATATATATATACAATATTCACCCATATCACACCATATCATATCACATCATGACATCTCTTGTAATTGGGACTTACTATATATTTCCGGGGTTACTATATATATATATAGTAATATTAACCCACATCACATCACATCATATCATATCTTGTAATAAATATAACACCAAACTGCTTTGGTCCTATCACTTCCATGAGTTCAAAAACGCTTTCTATCGGCCAAACTTCATCACCCATCCGCCATAGTCTACAGCTTAACATACCCAGATGCTCCATGTATGGAATATTTACCTACAGTTGGGCAATTTTTGGGGTAAATGTAGGTAAATATTCCATACATGGAGCATATGGGATATCCAGGAAAAATCCCCTTCCCATCAACAACCAGGCGATCTTTTTGCTCATTCAGGATGGGGCCCCCGTAAGATAGCGTTCAGTTGCCTTGTAAGTGGCTTAACCATGCTGGTTGGCGGTCTACCTACCCCTCTGAAAAATATGAAAGTCAGTTGGGGTTTCTTATTTCCAATATCTGGGGTTTATAACACCATGATTTCCCATAGATTTTCCATAGGTTTCCTGTTGTTAATGGGGGTTTATCAACCAACATTCACATCACGTTTGGGGGCACCATCCTCTATGGCTGATCCTTCGCCGGTCGCACCTACTGGCAGCTTGAAGTTGATCTGAGCCTTGGTTCCATGGCAGTAAGGCCCCGATGGTTTGATCAACATGGGAAAATGATACAATCTTAGATACAGAAGATAGTGTGATGTATAAACATCTTGAGATTCATGTGAAATTGGACAGCGAAAAAAAATCTTACTGGTGCGTTTTACGGAGGGAATGGATGGGTTGCGGGTTGCTGGGATTATTGTCACCTCCTTGGAGGGCGGATCGAATGTGTAAGCGGATAAGAAACCTATCAGTGATGGCTCGACTAAGAGTTTTTTTTTTAATGGGATGATTTCATGATATATAACCATTATAAGCCCCATGGAAACTATAGTTATATCTACCATGAACCATAGAATTCAGCCACTTATAATGATAACTTCAGTTATAGGAGCTATAATCCCATAAAAAAAAACTGTTCGTTGGGCCATCACTGTAGTTAGTAAGTCCCTGATTTCTGGGCTTTTCCCGGGACTATGGGATGATCCTCTCCGGCTCAGCTCCCAAACGAGATTTCCAAAGCCATAGAAGGTCGTTCCAAAGGCAATGCGGGCGTAAATCCTGTGGGATGTGGCATCAGTGTTGATAAACACAGCGAACAAAACCAGACTTATCTTGGAGGATTTATAAACTTAATTTTGAATGTGTCAACGATGGTTCACTATGAAAAATAATGAATAGGATTAAATTGGTCACTTGGATAATAGCTGATGGTTTCAGCTTCATCATTTCCAGGACTTCAAACTTCACAAAAGCTCCTTGGATTGCTGAATTTGGCGATTAAGATGAATCATCATTTGGGAATATCATGGAAATATCTTCTTTTTAAATCCATGAAGTCCAACAGTTGTGTTTTTTTTTGATTTTTTTGGAAGATCATAAACCCGGAACTTGACCATGACATGTAGGATGGTCCTGCAAGTTTACGTTTGGTCCAAATTCTGGGATGAAACTTGGTTTCTCCTACGCAAGCTTGAGAAATCACCTGTCAATCAACAACTGAACTAACTGAACCATTAAAGAATATTAAAAAAACATACCACGTTTTCCCATTTTATATCTTCCTATGGCTTAGATTGGGTTATTTAACATCACCAACCAGGATATGGCTCGAGAACTTGGACCCATGGCTGCACCTGTTTCCACTATCCCCGCGGAACGGTGCTGTGTTGCCGTCTCCCACCTGGCAGCCAGATTTCCCTGAAAATCTGGTGAAAAGTCTCCATGATTCGCCCTAAATCCACTGGTTCATCGTGATGAATCATCATCATCATCATCATCATTACCCATTAGATGCCATTTTCCGGGGTTTTTGCCGCCGGAAAAGACACACCCAATTATCATATCACTGGTTATGTGTCACATGAATTCAAACTTATAGTTGGTTTCATTCTTGTTTATCCATCATCATCATAATCTCCATGTTTGATGGTTCCACCATTTTCAGGTCCCAAAATATCATATCAAGCTACTCAAATCATAATATCCCATAAACTCCCAATTTGTCATGCTTAAATCCCGATTTTTCCCTTATATTCGTATGACTTCAAAGGCTGGCTGACTTCACAACGGATCCACTTGAGGAGGCGACGGTAGAAACCAAAGCAGCCGCCAGAATCAGGGGTCGTTTGTACAGCATCGCGCCTCGCTTGCCAAACGGGACCCAGGTATGCGTAGCCAAAAAACCTGATTTTTGGAGGCAACAAAGTCATATCTTGGTGATGATTCCTGAATTTTGTCGCCCTCAATCGATTTATGTATATATATATATATATTGTTTTTGGACTTTTTGTTTCAAACATGGGTAAATAGATCAGGTTTTACTGGATTTTTTGGTTGGGGCTTCAAGGTGAAACAACGGTGGTGAGATTACACCTGCCAAAAAAATATGTTGTTTGCTGGTTAGTACATTTTACCATTTATATCAAAAGACTAAAGTAATCCCATCCTCCTAATATTAAACACATCCTAAATAGTCCCACTTACGTGGATTTGTCCTACTTAACCATGGTTAAGTAGGGGGTATTTCACATTATGGTGATTGGTTTTTTAGCTGGTTGGTGGTATACCTACCCTCTGAAAAATATGAGTTCGTCAATGGGAAGGATGACATTCCATGAAAATAAAAGTCATGTTCCAAAGCACCAACCAGTAATATATACATCATTGTCCCATGATGTAACCCTATTATATCCCATTAAAACATCACTTCTGATGGTTCCCAATCAACTACATATGTATATATATAGGGCATCATGCCATCTGTAGGATCATCAAACATACTCGGAAGATCAACCCTGTTCCTGGTCAGTAGGTCAAAGGTTCACCCAGTTCAAATGGGAATCGGCAAACGCTGGCGTTGGAATTCCCCATGGTTTTCCCTGTGGCTTCATCAAAAGCGTTGGTGGATTTTTTTTCTGCCTGGTTCGGGGAGTTACTCAACTTCTTTGGGATGATCATGAATGGATTAGCATTACCCTCTGGTAAACATACAAAAAGCTATTGAAAATGGCAATTTATAGTTAATTTACCAAGTAAAAATGGTGATTTTCCATAGTTATGTTAGTTTACCAGAGGGTACATAACGGAAAAGCCGTAATGTATGTTCTAAAACCAAAAGCCGCCATCGACATCTCATTTTCTGCCCACAGAAAAGGCCCCTCCCTTTAAAAATCATATTCTGTCAGATAGTTGATACACCTGTACCACCAGTCTTTATGGATTGTATTCCTCTTTTGGTGAGTTGAATGCTGAGGTCTGACCCACCTTTGCAGTTCAAATTCAATAATTCCCATCTGAAAAACCTTCAACCCATGTACCATGCAACAACTGGGAAGTATCCATATAATCTATAGCATAGATCCATAGTTCATGGTTTTCATTTGTACAGTACATATCTACCCATGCATGTTTTGAACAAAGCCATTCACCAACACAACGTTGTTTCCACTCTGGATTTCGCTCGTGTGGATGAACTATCAGTGCAAGAGAGGTTCAACCGGCCACCTGTGCTTGGGAGATTGCGGACACCGGCACCGCGCGCAGCCCGTCAAAGGGTTGGATTCCAGTGTGAGGCGTATGGCCATTACCGCCATTACCATCTAATTTGACCATGGAATACATTTATGTATACATACGTATTTAAAGAATGTGTATAACTGTGGATATAGACCAATTCCAATCTAATATATATATATATATTATATAGTGCATCATATATAACATCTCTAGGATCATCAAAAATAGTTGGAGGATCAGCCCTGTTCCTGGTCAGTAGGTCCCCTGACACTTCTAAAATAAATGAATATGTATATATATATAATTATATATATATATATCATAATATATACATATCATATACATACAAAAAAGAAAACATCTATGGAAACAAAATTCAGGCACCCACTTAGAATTCACCAAGGCGCTTCCACCATTGAGGTTGGCAATGGCGTTGGCCTGGTTTTTTCGGTGAATTCATTCCCCTTCCTGTTGGTCGTTTGAAACCCGCATATATCAGGTAACTGGGTTCAATATTGGGAAAACATAGGGACATAATAAGGAAACCATAGCTAAGTTAGGTGGACCCCGGGAAGTGCATTTAAGCCATTTAAGCATCCCATTGCATAGTGGTTGGTAGGTATTCCTGTCGTGGCTTATCACACCCCCATTCAACCACGTACCAGGTCATTCTAAAAGCCTGAAATGGTTCTTGTCCAGCATACAATCTGGTATATCCCCAAGTTTGTATTTTTTTTGTAAGACAAATCATGATGATTGTAGTTTGCGCAAATAGGACATTTTTATAGGACAAATATGATGATTGTAGTTCAAATTATGATGATTGGAGTTTGCATAGCCAGTTTTTGGAAAAACCATTGCCTTTACCATTCCCATCTGTTACCATGATCTCAGTCAGTGAGGTCGATATAATTCACTCAGACAGGTCTACTTGAGTTCTTCGTCTCCCAATCATGTGACGCTTGATTCAATCTGTACATAACATTACATAGGGTTTAAGGGAACATCTTAACCTGAAACCATCGATTTTCCCTTGAAATATCAGGCGTTCTGGTTTCAGTTTTCCCTCAACCAGGGATATATATGTAACTGCTTGGTGGTGCAATAGCCATCTGGAAAAATATGAGTTCGTCAATGGGAAGGATGACATCCCATATATGAAATGGAAAAACATGTTTGAAACCACCAACCAGTATAGTCTATTGGTTGCTATGTTGATGTTGCCCTGAAAAGAACAAGTAGTAAGCAAGATAGATGTGTCAACCTTATGAGACATTGATGTTCCTCCTTTGTTTATTGTGAACCGGCATCAGGGCAAGGTACTTGGGATAACAATACTTATTGCAAGGCATCTGCGCAACCCCAATCCCTAGACCTTCTTTGGTGTACACTTCAAAGCTACCCAGAAAAACGGGAGAAGGTTATATATACATCATTATCCCATGATGTACCCAGATATTCCACTAAAACAAACAACTTCTGGTTCCCATGGTTGCAAGCCCAACCTTTGGCACCCCATCATGTTTCATGCCACGTCGAATTCACGAGGGAAAACTTCGGAATCGCAATTCCAACCTTCAGCATGTCCCAGTAGAAGGGCGAGAAACCGCCGTCTTTCATAATCCTCGGCGCAGAAAACCAGCGGAAGTGAAGGGATCCCAACGCCCATAGGAAAACCCTTGGGAAAACCGGGAACCTTTAGAGGAAAAACGAAAAAACGCACCGTTTTTTTCCACCTCCTCAAAAAATGCATGTGATTCAGCTAGAATAGCTTGGAGCTCATTTTTGGATGTGTCTGAAAATACGGTCAAACACATGGTGAAAAACTTATATTGCAATTTGAGTTTTCGGAAATGATGATGAACCATGAAATGCCATAGGATGGAATAGGGTATCCTATTCTCAAACAACCCCTGCCATCAAACAGGATCTGCTCCCAAGCCCTGGCCGCTGAAGATGGGATTCTGATCATAAACCAACATTTTTGTTGCATATATCCTCGTACAATGGCCATAAAAGGCCAATTTAGCCTGTTCTGTTTCACAATGTTTCATAGAAATTATGAGAAACATCGCCATTAAAAGATATGAGCAGGTCATATTTTCCCAGTAAACATCACTAGAATCATCCCATTTATACTGGTTGGTGGTTAAACCCCTCTGAAAAATATGAAAGTCAGTTGGGATTATTATTCCCAACTGGATGGAAAGTCATAAAAGTCCATGGTTCCAGTCACCACCAACCAGCTATTATCCCATTAAGTTATGAAAAATCATTACTATATCATTACTATATTATAAGATCCGAATGATATCTGACACATTTATATATATATATGGCTATGGATCAATACCTATTAATACCATTTTTACTGGGATGAACATCCATAAATCCCAGCTATTTTGATGTGAACTACAGGGTTACATGGTTTTGACCCATCAACTGGATCAGCAAATCCGACGCTGATCCCGCCCCAAGGGCCCCAAGCTCTGCTGTGACCACCGAGGGGAAGAAGCCACCAGCGGACAATGGTAAGTTGCCAATCTGCCAGCGAATTGGAGGTCTGTAGCTGGGAAACTCATGGGAACACATGCCATAAATGGAGCTTTATAGCTGGGAACATAATCTATGACACGGGGAGAATCTATCTACAGATGAAGAAATCAAATACTGAAATCGACTACATCATGATTTCGTTTGGCGGAATTCCAGGTATTCATGGATTGTGAAGGATCAAAGCATTAAAGTATTGTACAATCCATCACTGGTTTACCCGGTTTACCCCACAAACTTGACGCTGAACTCCCAGGATTGATGGTATTTTCCCATGCGAAGCTCCGCTGATTTTCCAGCCAGCCCACTTTGATTACCAGAGTGGAAATCCCCATTTACTTGATCTGGTTGGTGGCTTCAACCCCTCTGAAAAATATTAGTCAGTTGGGATGATGATTCCCAATATATGGAAGAATAAAAAATGTTCCAAACCACCAACCAGTGATGGTATTCTCGGATCCCAAGCCGATGGTTTTCCTCGCTGATGTTCCCAACTTAAGTTTGGGAGAGGTACCGATTACATCCCCGGTAGCATTCCCATAGAAAACAAACTATTCGACCAGAGCTATTTCACCATCCATTCCCTATTATTCTTGATAGTCAAATTTCCGGAAAAATAGTGGCAGATCAACTGACCAATCTCTTCCAGATATCAGGAAAATAAGATAGATCCCATTAAACCATCTGGATGGCTTATAGTTTATGGTTAGCCACATAAATAGCGACTTAAGCAATCATTAATTATATAACTATGAGCTATAAACCATGATTTATCCCATGGTCGGACAACCTTCCCATAATAAACATCCCATAAACTATACATATATAGTGATATCCCCAGTCTCCAGGTTAAAAAAAACATCCTGTGAATAAATAGGGTTTAAGGGAACATCTTGACCTGAAAGCATCGATTTTCCCATGAAAATGAAATATACCAGGCTTTCCTGTAAGTTTTCCCTTAACCAAGGATATTTATATATATAATATATTATATATATAGTCATCCCCAAATAGATGGAAAAATATATAAATCCCTACTAATCTGATGGTGATTTACTTTTTGGGGATGACTCTATACTCTCTATATATATATACTATTTCCTTATACACATTTACCATATATGTTTTCACATAAATTGTCCAAACACTCTGGTTGGTGGTATACCTACCCGTCTGAAAAATATGGGTCAGTCAGTTGGGATGATGACATTCCCAATAATGTGGTTAAAACAATAATAAACCATCCCCCAAGTCACCATAGATAGGTGGTATAAACCATTCCAAAATGGGTAGTTTATGGCATTGTTTTAACCACATTATATGGAAAATCATAAAATTCATAAGTTCCAATCATTGGATTGGTTTTCTTGGGAAAATTTTCACCGGAAACCATGGGTTTTTACCATCAAAAAATGTGGTTTTCCATAATATATGGAACATTACCAGAGGGTATTTCCTATTAATACCACCATTTTGGTTGGTGAATTCCCTATGAATCAGCCTGAATCACCATTATTATTCCCAATATATGGAACAATATGAGTCAGTCAGTTGGGATGATGAAATTCCCAGTACCCCTGGTAATTTAACATAACTATTGAAAATGGTGATTTTCTATAGCTATGTTAAATTACCAAATAGTAAAATTCATGTTCCAAACCACAAGCAATCCATTGATCCAACGGTGTTGTCTCCAGCCTTCATGATCATCTTGGCGGTATTGGTGACATCCGCCATGATGTTCGGTAAGATGATCCTGCCATGGCACGCAAAAACAACGGCAACACAAACTAGACGACGGATGGCCCCAGAGCGTAGAGGAGCAGGGTCTTCTCTTGTTAGTATGGAGACACCATATTACAAAACAATAAATTAAAGATGTGTGATAGGCAGTCGAGAAGAGGAGTATCCAGACAATATAGCACAAGTACAAGACAATAGTTTGCATCGCAAACAGTTTTACACACAGAAGTTTTTACACACAGACGATTTTACACACAAAAGCTTTTACACACAGAAGCTTTTACACACAGAAGCTTTTACACATAGACATGTTTACACACAGACGCCTTTACACACAGGCACTTTTACACACAGACACTTTTACACACAGGCGCTTTTAGTATTACACACAGACGCTTTTACACACAGTTGCTTTTACACAAACGCTTTTACACACACAAGCTTTTACCCACAGAAGCTTTTACAGACAGAAGCTTTTACACACAGACAGTATTGCACACAGACGCTTTTACACACAGACACTTTTACACACAGACACTTTTAACACAGACCCTTTTACACACAGGAGCTTTTACACACAGAAGCTTTTACACGCAGACGCTTTTACACACAAAAGCTTTTGCACACAGAAGCTTTTACACATAGACGCTTTTACACACAGACACTTTTACACACAGGAGCTTTTACACACAGAAGATTTTACACGCAGACGCTTTTACACACAAAAGCTTTTACACACAGAAGCTTTTACACACAGAAGCTTTTACACACAGACGCTTTTACACACAAACAATTTTAGACACAAACACTTTTACAGACAAACGCTTTTACACACAGACGCTTTTACACACAGGCCGGCCATGCTCACATGCGAAAGGGTTCGCGGGACAAGAGGGACAACTTGGAGTCGCAATTTTACCTCAGTTTTTGACGATCGAACCTCATTTCGTGCGACATGGTTGCGCGGGACAAGTTGAAATCGCAATTTTACCTCAGTTTTTGGCGATCGAACCTCATTTCGTGCGAAAAGGTTGCGCCGGACACTTTGAAATCGCAATTTTACCTCAGTTTTTGGCGATCGAACCTCATTTCGTGCGAAAGGGTTACGTTTCGTGCCGTCTCGTTGGCACTGCCCCTGCCCCCGCCTTCAGAAGAGAAATAGAAAAGAAGGAGAGGGCAAGAGGGCAAGAGGACAAGAGGAGAAGATGTGAGGGCAAGAGGCAAGAAGGCAAGAGGAGAAGATGTGAAGATGTGAGGATGTGAAGATGTGAAGATGTGAGGATGAGAAGATGTGAAGATGAGCAGGTGCGAAGATGTGACGATGTGAAGATGAGCAGATGTGAAGATGAGAAGATGTGAAGACGTGAAGATGAGAAGATGAGAAGATGTGAAGATGAGAAGATGTAAAGATGAGAAGATGTGAAGATGTGAGGATGTGAAGATGTTAAGATGATGAGAAGATGTGAAGATGAGAGGATGTGAAGATGAGAAGATGTGAAGATGAGAAGATGTGAGGTTTAGAAGGTGTGAAGATGAGAAGATGAGATGAAGATGTGAAGATGAGAAGATGTGAAGATGATAAGATGTGAAGATGAGAAGGTGAGATGAAGATGAGAAGATGAGAAGAAGATGTGAAGATGAGAAGATGTGAAGATGAGAAGATGAGATGAAGATGAGAAGATGAGATGAAGATGAGAAGATGAGAAGATGTGAAGATGAGAAGATGTGAAGATGAGAACATGAGATACAGACCACCACTATTGGAAGAACCCTGCGCGTAGACGCTCTCGGGAAATATGTATATGTACTTATACATATGTATATACATGTACATATGTATAGATGTATATATAGTTTTAGACATGTATAGATGTATACATGTATAAATGTATAGATGTATAAATATATATATACACATAGATATACTATAAATATAGTAAATATAGCAAATGTACTAAACATAAAAAATGAAATAAACGAAATACAACAAACATAGTAAATATACTAAATATAAAAAACATAATACGTATTTTAAATATAACATATATATAATAAACATAATAGATATATGAGATATGTACGCACACACACACACATATATATTTACACGTTAAGTGTGTCTACATATATATAAATATCTTATATGTATCATATGTATTATATATGTACATATTCCCATTTGGAGAACATGCCATATTGACTAACCGTTCACCTGGCCGTTTTCGCAGTCAATCACTAATGAATGTTGGTTTACGGCCCATGTGTTTGTTTATACCACACCTTGCTTTGCTGGTTAAATATCAAGTATTGATGGTTAAATCACATTCT